ATGGAGAATTGTATATCAGTGATTTACTTAAGAAAATTATAATCTCCATATTTGCAAAATCATAATTATGTTTCTATATTTGCAAATATAAAAATGTGACCACCTATTAAAATTTTTCTCTTTAATTATTTCTAATTTTTAAGCATAATTAATTATAATTAAGAAATTATCAAATTTATATTTTAATTAAATAAAATATTAATTATTTGCTTAAAAATAATATTCACCCTACAATTATATATCACTCTCATAAGTATTTCATAAACATTTTTTCTCTCTCAATGATGTATCTAACATCATCAAACTACATAATTTATAATTCAACTAGTTAATAATTATAATTAGAAAATTTTATAAGGTTGTAACATAATAAAATTTTATAAGGTTATTAGGAAATTAAAAATAAAATTGTTATCAAACCAAATTTTAGTGAAATTTTTTAAAATATGACAAACTAAATATAAACAAATTTTGAAAGTTCAAAAATTAAACTTAGGAAAAAATATTTGGAAAGTACGTGAACCCTCATAACAAAAGTTGGTGGGCTTTACACACAAACACGTTCCCGGTTACAAACTAGAAGCACTCTTATTTTTTTATTTTTTTTAATTATAACTTTTTAATATTATCTATTAAAATACAAAAAATAAAGTCTTGCATCAGATTTTTCAAGATTCTTATTATTTTTTTAATATGACATACTGAGGTGGGGATTCGAATGGATGACATTTTAATAAGAGAGATGTCAATTACTACTAAACTAAGTTCATATTGACAAACATGTTATTATATTTTCCACTTTAGAAAAGAAAAAAAGGAAAAATATATAGATGTGTATGTAAAAGTTTACATCGTGACATGAATATGTTATTATACATATATTCAAGTGTGTTATTATACACGAATTGTACACTATCTCTATATATTTCTAAATTGATGAAAATGAAAGACAGACGAAAATATTGTTGTTCTCTTAAAAGTTTTTTCCTAAAAGAAATTATTCTCTGACCTCTCAGGATCATAAATATGTATTTTAAATATGTATTTTGACTCTTCAAAAATTTAAGATGGAATAAATAAACGTTATGTATAATGTATACATAAGAAGAGAGACCAAAATATCCATAGCTTTAATCTTTTTTTTTCCTCTTTGAGTTGAGCTGCGCTTATCTACTAGGATCTTACAGAAAGAAGTCGTTCAACAACTTGATACATTGCTAGTGGTGGACAATCATTTCACGGTAATCCCATTTTTCAACTTCAACCCTATTTCTTTCAATCAAGTCAGTTTAATCCTTTTGATGGGTCGAGCGGTTGATACTTTCTTCAAATTGCACTAGCTAGTCCAACAATATCGATTTCACGCATAAATCAGAAGTTCAAATCACCGCCTCTTACATGTATTATATTAAAAAAAGGAAAAAGAAGGGAAAGGATTTGTTGGCAACTCAGCATTAGCATATACATATATATGTGTGCAAGGCGTTGACAATTGACAACTTACAATGCAAAACCTCGAATGTGGCCAATTGCGTTACTTTCCCACTCCCAAATAATTTATATACTTGCATCCACGTTCGCTTCACAAATAATTTATTTATTTTATTATTATTATTATTATTTCCAAGATAGATGCAGTGTGGTTTATACGGGTGGTCTCCAGCTATAATCGAGACTCGTTTTCTGGACTGAACAATACTATATATGACTATCATTATGATACATTCAAACCTTCAATTTGATTACCATTGGCCTAAACTCACCATATTATTTCCATTAAACTTTTAAATATTAAAAAATGTTATAAATTAATTTTAACCCAAGGGTTGTTAGAATATTTCTTGAAGTTTGGAAATTTTAAATAGATCTATTATATAGAAAATTAAAAGTTTATAGACTAAACAGACACAATAATGATAAATTTTAAAATACACACAAGACTAGATAATTACAACTACGCTTTCAAAATTGATGAGTCAAAACTTATAAAATTTAACTTTAAATAAACAAACAAATTAATTTTGTCAAGGAGAAGTTCTTGGTTTCACGTGGGGGAGGCAAATTCTTCCCCTATATATATGACCTAATTAGAGCCAAACCTAAATATCAATAAACCATCTCCATATCATCTCTCGAAGCCAACACCAATGGCTTCTTCAAACCCCATCTCCCTCCTCACATTTTTCATTCTCTTCTTCTTCCTACTCTCCTCTCCATCTCACTCCACCGCCCCGGTTACGACGGTGGAGATCTGTCAATCCGCTACCTCTCCCTCTTTCTGCAGGTCCTTCCTCCCCGCCTCCCTGGCCTCCGTCCACTCCCATTGTCGCTTCACCCTTGCCCACGCCCTTGCCCGCGCTCACGCCTTCCTCGGCCTCGTTGATGCCCATCTCGGACTCGCCCCTACTCTCCCCACCCGCATTGTCTCTGCCCTCCACGACTGCCACTCCCTCGCCGCCGCCAACGTTGAGTTCATATCCAGCACCCTCGATACCGTCAACAACACCACCCAGCTCCTCCCCTTTTATGAGGCCGATGAGTTGCTAAGCTTCATAAGTGCCCTCATTACCAATGGAGATACTTGTTACGAAGGCCTGACCGTCGCGGCCGCCACCACGACATCGTCGGTGGTGGGTTCGGTCGAGAAGGTGTTGGCGGCGCTGTCGTATGACAAAAATGTCTACAGCTTGTACCTTTCTTTGTTCAAAATGGGGTGGGTGCCGGAGAACATGAAGGCTCCGGGGTTGCCGGAGGGGAAACATTTCCGGCTCCGGCGTGGGCCGTTGAACCTCAAAATGTCGCCGGAAAACCGTGCGTATTATGACCGGCTGGTGCATAGGAAGAGGCCGGCGGCCCCCGGTAGAAGACTTCTTCAGACAAATTATGAAGCTGAAGGAATTCTTGTTAATGGTAACACTAAATATTAACTACCTTCTATTTTTCCTTCAAAAATTAAATTCAGTTATTATTATTGTTATTTTGGGTTCAATGCAAGAATTCTCAGATCCGTAGAGAGAGTTTTATTAACCACCAAATAAAAACAATATGATATTTCATCTTAATTAGTCCAATAGGATTGGGACTTTTATATATATAAACAAAACAGGGTGGGGCGGGGAACACGACATGAAGATGGTGAACGTATTCCCCATCTTCATCCCTGTTTAGACTTGACAAGGACAAAATGTCTCCATCCTCAACTCGTTAGAGTATAAACGGGTGCAGGGAAGGCCTCCACACGAAGAATAAACAACCCTACGCATGTATTAGACATCTATATTTTTCCTTTTTTTGCAAAATATATTTCCTTGCCGCTAGTAGGTTTGAATCCTACACCTTTATTAGCGATGTAAAGAAAACTAAACCTTTTTCTATTAATGTTTTTTTTTTCTTGGAAAGGAATTTTCTTTTAATGTTGGTTATTTGTGTTAATAGGTATTGTTGCGGTGGATAAAAATGGTAGCTACGACTACACCACCATCAACGCTGCCATTGCAGCAGCTCCGAACAACTCGGCCGCTGGCAACGGTTACTTCTTGATCTTCGTTAGCAGTGGCGTGTACAACGAGAGCGTTGTGGTTCCAAAGAACAAAAAGTACGTGTTGATGATCGGAGAAGGTAACAACCAAACTATCATTACGGGCAACAACAATGTCGTCGACGGTTCCACCACCTTCAACAGCGCTACCGTCGGTAAGCTCCTCTCCAATCTCATCATTGATCGATTAACATTTATCTTCCTACTGATCACTATTAAAAAATTAACCCTCTTAATTTTCTCTTTTATAAAAAAGGAAAAAAAATTCTTTTTATGTCTTTCTCTCCTAAAATGTTGAACCCATGGAAAAAATAATAATTGGTCACTATCATGAGCACCGGTGTTCATTCTAACCACAACTCAAAATTTTATAACTTTTTTACTTTTTCTGAAAAGTATATCGGACTCAGTCCATAATATTATTAAATTGGACAAATAAGAGAGAAGTACTGCAAAACCAAAAACTCTTATTAAAAAAAATAAAAAATACTTGATTCCTTAATGGTAATGAACAATCTTGTGTCTTTATCATCTTTAAATACAAGGAAAAGAGAGAAATATAAAAATATAGAATTTTTATAAAAATTATAGAATTTTTATAAAAATTATAGAATTTTTATAAAAATTAATGGGTTCTCAATTTTTCAAGGGGGTGAGAAACAAGTATTTTTCTTAAAAAATAACATGTAGTCAAACATTTAGTGACAGTGAGAATAAGATTGGGTGGAGTTAGCACCTATATTTATGCTGAACTCCGCTAAAAAATATTGACATGTAATTTGCTCTCTACTTGGCACAGTTGTGGAGGGAACAGGGTTCTTTGGGGTGAACCTAACGATCACCAACACGGCTGGTGCCATCAAACACCAAGCCGTGGCCCTACGAGTCAGCGCAGATTTGACGACGTTTTACAGTTGCATATTCGAAGGCTACCAAGACACTCTCTACGCCCACACCCTTCGTCAATTCTACCGTGAATGCGATGTCTACGGCACTGTCGATTTCATCTTCGGTAACGCTGCCGTCGTTATCCAGAACTGCAATCTTTACACCCGGCTCCCGCTGAGCGGTCAGTTCAACGCCCTCACAGCACAGGGTCGGACCGACCCGAACCAGAACACCGGCACCTCGATCCACAACTGCACGATCAAGCCGACGGCGGAGCTCGCCGCCAGCCCCGCCACCAAGAGCTACTTGGGGCGGCCGTGGAAGGAATATTCTCGAACAGTTTACATGCAGTCGTTTATAGATGCTTTTATTGACCCTGCAGGATGGAAGGAGTGGGACGGGACGTTGAATTTGAACACGTCGTATTACGCGGAGTTTAGCAACTCCGGGCCGGGATCCGACACCTCACGGCGGGTGAAATGGGCGGTCGGCGTCATCAACGCCACCGTGGCTAGTAACTTCACGGTGTCCAGTTTGTTGGCCGGAGATCAGTGGTTGCCGCCGACCACAGTTCCGTACACCGGCGGTTTGATATCATAACCAAATTAAATTACTCCTCTTTGTCTAGTATAAATTATTTCTGTTGAATGTGGTCCATGATTTAATTGCTATATTTTTTTTTCTTCTTGTCAGTTTTCGTTTTTCAAGTGTAATGCAATTAATGTTATTTAATTGGTTCAAAATGTGATACGACTTTGTTCATCATACATGGAATAGAAAGTGTTGTTGCGTGAAAGTTAATCAAACTTCAAAGTGGATCAAGAGAATAATTTCGAGGTGTTTGAGAGATCTGAGTAAATTTCAAAATTATCTCAAGACGAGCTATCAATACACATACATGCACGTATAATGCAATTAATGTTATTTAATTTGTTCAAAAATTTGATACAACTTTACTTATGATACTGGAATAGAAAGTGTTGTTGAGTGAAAGTCTAGTCTCGAGGTGGATTACAAGAGAATTTCGAGATGTTTAAAATCTCTACGTGTCAGTAAGTTTTGGAGTTATTTCAAGACGAGCTATATGTGTATCTGAGACTAGCTCCCATAGTCTCATATTTATACTGACACACTTTTGAGGTATGCTTAGTTATCTATTTACATTTTATGTTTTGGTTATTTGTATTGATGCATTTTGTATTGTGTTATTTAGTAAACAAATCTTCACTGATTTATTTTTTATCTTAAAAAAAATATAGGATATTAGAAAATAAGTAGGAGCACGTAATTGTTGTTGGTGTGTGTAGACAAGTTTTTTTCATAATCCATATTTACTATTCACATAATCATCTTGATGATAACTACTTGGTACAAAGTTTGTAAACACTTTAATTCCTAAATTACCTCAACGATAATTTGGAAGCAATAATTGGTATATATTTCTAAATTGTAAGATTGTGAATTCGATCCCTCACTCATACATGTTGCACTAAAAAAGAGACCAACTTAAGATAGCGTTTTGATTTTTCAAATATAGCATTTTTTTCAAAAAAAAAAAAAAGACGGAGACTCACATATTAAATGACAACATTGCCCCGTAGGCCCAAACTGAAGCCCAGAAAATCTTACGTTTTGATTTCAGTTTGATTTTCAACCCTACGTTTCGATTTCCCTCTGATTTTCATCCGATATAAATGTGATATACTACTGATACAGATATAAATTGGATGTATATCATATATAGATTCGACGTATATCAAATACAGATATACATCGGATTTATATCATATAGATATATATTAGATGTATATCAGATATCATAAGGATAAAATTGGAATAATAAAAATTCTGAAAATAAAAATTCAAATATTTTACATATTTAAAATTTTGAAAAACTCGTGGGATTTTGTGAAATACATAAAATATTTTTGCTACCCTACACAATTATGCAGAAAAAAAAAACAATTTTAACTACAAAAATTAAGATTTTAAATGTTAAGCTAAAATAGAAAATTAGCCATTCTTCCAAGTAATAAAAATCAAAATGTTTTGAGAATTATTTGAGGACTCAAATACAAAGAGACAATTTGGAGATTAAGGCCTCAGAATCTTTCTTCTGAAATTTCAGTTGTAGTTTTTTGGATCTAAAGGAATTCAAAATGAAACTCAGAGTCTGCAAGATAGAGAATGTTTGTAATTCTGCAATTTATTCTTTAATCTTCCTTTGGTTTCAACAAGGCCTTTGCAACCTTCTGTTGTACAAGAAGGACCTTCATCTTTTCCAGCTCAAATTTGCAGACATTTACGACGAAGTCCTCCAGAGAAACTTTTGCAGCCATCGCTAGAAAAGGAATCCTCACGAAGAGCAGATATTTGGCTTGTCAAATCTATTTTGTATGGTTCTGATACCAAGTTGTAAAGATAAGTCCCAACCGTACTATGTTGTAATCACAAGAATTTCCACAGTAGACTTCTGTGTATTTGCACGTGCCGAAATCACTTTTTTCTTTGTCAAAAAAGTCACTTCCATTTTCATTAATCGTGTTTGGAAAATTAAAAATTTGATTTTAAAAAAGCTTAAAATTACTTTAAATTGATTTTTAAAGTATCATTTGAATGGTGATTTTGGAAAATCGTTAATTTATAATATATAGATGAAAGTAATGTTATGTTTCGAAGCTTAATTTTTAAAAAAGGAAAACTAAAAGCGAAATGGCTAAATGCAACCTAAGCAAATAATCCTCCGTTTTATCATATTATTGAATCAAACAGATTGAAGAATCTTAGCTATACAGAAATGAAGAGTCTCTAATCCTTTATGATTCTCAACAAAATGCCCAATTTAACTCAAAGGGCTAAATCTTGTTCATATGCAGAAATTTCTAAAAGGAAAAAAAAAATGGCCTAAAAGGTGGGAAAAAATCTCACATTGGCAATGGAATTACAATATATTTCCTACACAGTTCTTCCTCAAAGGTCGTCAATAGGTTTGGTACCTTTCCAACTCTGCATTCGAGCGTTTTCGCGGTCGAGCCTGAAGTATTTATACAATGGGGTGTAGCACAAACAACAAACGCCGAAAGGGACTGCCATCATTGTAAGAAGCCCCTTGGATAATGCAAGAGCCTTCGGTAATGAAGCTCTAGCTGTGTCGTCGTAACCGAACATTTGCTCTGAGAGAATACCAACCAGAGGAGCAGCAACTGATGAAAACGAACCTTCAAATGCACGGTCGAATGCGTATATCATGGTTCGGTGTTTGGTTGGGACGACCTCAGCAAACATGGGGGCATTGACAGCAGAGCCATTCCAGCTGATGGTTAAGCCCATCAAGAAGAGAGTGACAGCGAATGCGAAATAGCTATCGACCGACTGCGGTATAACTCGGAGGAGGAACAATGAGAATGGTATGCCCATAAAAGCACTGAATTGAGCACACATGGTTCGACCTGAATGAGGATAGATCCTTGACAACCTATCTGCGATTAGACCGCCAACGAGAGACCCCATTGCACACCCAACCGCAAAAAGACTGATGAGAACCGCAGTACTGTTATGACTAAAACCTATAACAACAGCGTCAAAACTCATCAATGATCAACTTTGAAAGACAAAAGGCATGAGAAGAAAGGGTGTTTTATTTGTTGTCGTCTTTATAACCGACATTTCATGACCGTACTAACTAACTTCTTGGCCACGAGACAATATTATACTGTTTTTAGAAGGCAGGGCACATTGAAGCGATACTCACCGATCAGTTCAAACCACATAGTGAAGAACACCATGGCTGTCCACGGCAGTGATCCCACAATGCCCTGCAGCACAATGATTTGAAATGTATGCACTCTCATAACAGCTTTCATTGCAGTCCAAGATTCAGACCATATCGATGATGAACTAGACGGGCTCCGATCGATCAAACTATCCCTGCAACCAGATACCAAGCGAGTAAGGAAAGAAGCATAGATCTCAGGGGAAAATACAAAACAAACTGCTAAAAGGCCTCAGTTAGTACCTACCTATCTGAACTCTCTTGGATGATGCTTGTTTTTCTAGGATCAACTACAAACAAGTAAACGAGGAAACCAATTATTGCACTCAATATAGCCATCAGAATGAAGGCGCAGCGCCATCCTTCTATACCAAAATACTGTTGACCAGCCATAACCGTTGCGAGGACACCTCCTCCGATACCGCCCAAGGAACCAATAAGGCTTAGCAAGCCAAATCCCGTACCCCGTACGCCATCCATATAGCTATCAGCAATGAAAGATTGGAGTGCTGGAATCACAATAGCCAAGCCAAAGCCATTCAGGGCCCTCCAGAATGCAACTTGCTTAAAATCGACACTGATACCGACTGCAGCAGTCGAAAAGGCCCAGCAAAAGGTGCCCATAGCGAGAACCGTAGGACGGTCGTAGTTAAGGACTAGAACACCTGCCAAGGGAGAACATAATCCCTGCACAAAGTTCCGTATGAATGTAAGGTATCCTAGATCAGATGGGCTGGCATTGAAAGCTTCACTAACTTCCTTGTAAACCGACGGTAGGAGATTCTCATCGGCGCGTTCCATGATAGCTGCCATGTTGATGAGAATCAAAGAAATAGAGACCCCAACTATTTTTTTGTTCCTGTGGATTTGTAGATGGTGTAAGGAATTGAACACAACAATGTTGGTGTATAGCAGGAAATAGGAATGTCCAAATTCAGTAACCAAATAAAGTTTTTGTATCAGAACACCATCATGAGTTGGATGAATATGTTAGCATCCCAACAGTAAAAGCATTCAAAAACAGTGTTGCATAAGGTAAGATTTGCTTAAACATCGCTTATTTAGTTCCTTTGATAACGATTTCATTTTTCGTTTTCAGTTTTTTTAAATTAAGCTTATAATCTTCACTCTCTAGAAACACTTTTCAAATCAAAGAACAGCAAAGAAACAAAAAACAACTGAGCAAAACTAGAAAGTGCAGTAATTAAAACTAATTAAGATAGAGAATATATTGTTTTCTTGTACTTGACATCAATCTATCGGAATAAATTGAACAAGTGAACAGAGAACACCATTTAAAAAGCTGCATCTAACCCAGAACTTGAAATGAAAACTGAAGAGAACCCAGATAAAACAGTACAAAAAAAATCCATTTCCGAAACCGTTAGAACACATCCAACATAAATCGGAACCATCGGAAATGGCACCCCAAATTCAGAACACATTCCAAAAGAAAAGGAAACAGGGCAAGAAAACGTGGTACTAACTTCATGTCTTCCAGAATTGTTGGAGGGTCCAATCCAAAATCAGAGGGAAACTGAGAATCTGAGAAATCACATCAAGACCCACAAATCCAATCGCATGAACGGCGGATCTGGAGCACCAACTTTTAGGTTGAAGAAAACTGAGTGGGCTGGGACTCATCGGGAATTGACTCCAGAGAATATTCAAATGGGTTTTCTGAGATTTCCATTTTAATATTGGGGAAGAACAGATTCGTCCAATATCAGGTGCACAGGTAAACGATTGGTGGGTTTTGGGGAAATCTGATAACGAAAACAAAATTTGCCAATGGAAATGGATTAATCGGGAATTGACTCCAGAGAAATGGCGGATTCTGCAAGTAATCCACCTGATCTTAAAATATCTGACGCTGATGAAAATTTGAATCGGCCGGGCCGGCAAGTCAACCTCAAGATAACGTGTGACTCCTTTTTGTGACAATGTTTGATTTCTTGCAATATATGTTTCAATTTGGTATAGTTTAAAAATACATATAATTTATTTATCAAAAAAATAAAAGTAAAAATAAATACATATAACTTTAACAAAAAAATTTGATATACGAATTAACTAACTATCTGCGAGTTTGAATCTCTACCGACCCATTTTTTATGAAAAACCGACTTCACGTGTCCTCTAATTTTTTGTCAATTCACTAAATATCATATCATATTGGAGTTTACTACCAGCCATATTTTACATCCACTCGTAGAAGAAGTATAATTGAAAATGTTTAAACAATAGGGTCTAAAATATATGTTTAGTCTTTTAATTAAGAACCTATTGGTTTATAAATTATTTCTCTGAGTTTCTATGGTTGAAAGATATGTCTATGGTAAGTAAAAGTACCCATTGAAAGAATAAATTCAATTAAAAGTTTCTTATTCATCTATTACTATCCTTATAGATCATGCTAACAAAAATCTAATGATATAGGTAAAAAATTAATTCGTCATTTGTCTTTCTATCCCGCAATTTTGAATCCATAGATTTAGATGTTGTAAAAACTAATATTCTTATTATAAACAATAACCTTTTTACTAAAAGTTAATTTAATATGTTAATAAAAATGTCAAAGTTCCAACGGGATTCCATGGAATATCAATGTAAATGAAAATTTGAGAAAATGATTAAATATTATTTAAATTAATAAATTATAATGTGGACTTGAACAAAATTCAACTAGTATATGAACTGTAATGCTTTAAAAAAAATAACTTTTTCTGAAGTAAAGAAAAATGGGACTTTTTATTTCTAGTTTAATTTGATTAAAATTGATTATATTAGTATATATCATTACAAGAGAGATCAAATATTCAAGCATGACAAAATGACCMTAAAGAACTAAAACATTAAACTTTTTATTATATTAAAATTTTGTTGCACGTGGAAATGAAAAAAAAATAATTATTTCTACTCTGATGGACAATTTAGCTCTCGTTTCGGTGATATTCTCATTTTTTTCCTTTCTTGTTTCCGATTCTTAATTCTTGTTTCCGATTTTATTAAGAAGCTTAAGTTTTTATTTTTTAACTATTTATGTTTTTTTATTTCTCATTTTTCATTCTCAAAATTAGATAATTTTAGAAATAACAAAAACAAGTTTCAATTTGTTCAAACTCAACCCTTAAAGCTGTCTTTGGTCCTATTTTTAGGATGAATTTGTTCTAAGTTTAATATAAAAAACAATTCACAAAAATAGATTCACCAAAAAAAAAGAAAAGGAACAAAAGAATTTGTACAATTTTCTTTACAATAACTGGAAAACATCTCATTACAAGTCAGCAAATAGACAAAATAATCATACAGATTCAACAAATTTACAATTTTTCTAACTCAGTCCACACAACAAATCGGCTTGTTTATGATGAGTTAGTTTCATCTCTCTCTTTTTCTCACACACTGTGTCTCCAAATGCCACATTTTTTGTCCAATAACTTGCCTCTCTAAAACATGTCACCATCTGGAGAGCAAAAAATTGAGAACAAATGGTAGGAGTTACATTATGACTTCTTGTCTCTTTCTGTTGCTGAGTCAGTAATGTCAATTGTTTTGCATTCTTTTGCCTTATTGCACTTCATCTGCACTCTGCACCAAAAAATAAAAATATTACTTCAACAAACTTGCGACTTACAGATAGAGTAAATTGCTCTTTCTTCTTTGTCTTCAAGCACAACCGTATACTATTTTTACAGATATCTAGCCTAGTACTTTCTAAAATGCTAAATTTATGTTTTTGGATATCGGAAATTGCCCCCAAACCGCTTGTATGCATCTTAACTAATAATAAGGTCACGGGACAATCATTTCATCCTACTACATCTTTTAAATCCAAGGTAGGTTGCCCATCGTCTAAACTCATTTCCTCTAAGCTCTTTGACAACATGACACCGGCCCTGTGACACATCATTTTCTAAATAACCTAGGAGACGGACATGGCAAGGATGTGTTTGTCAAATATACAATTCTTTTTAAGTATATATCCTTTTTATACTAGAAGGAAATTTAAAGTCATTAAGCTTATGCATTTTTATGTTGTCCTATGTTACTATTTGTGTCTATTTCTTATGTTTAACATGTGTCTTGTACGTGCCTAACAACTGTTAGATCCATATTCACTTTGTACTACTTATGTGTGACACACATCTATTGAACTAACAAATGTCAAAGTGTTCGACACATGTCCAAGGACACATTAGTGTCCATGTTTCTTAGTTAACCACCCAAGACGGTTCAAAATTTGTTTTTGTTCTTGACTATGCTTTCCTACGTTTATTCAAAATATCCAGGAGTATTTACTCCCCATTTGAGTTTAAGAAATAATTTTGGAAATGAAGATGCCATGTGCTTTGCCTATGTTCTTTGATAACTAATGTTGTGTTTGGATGGATTAATCAATTTCGATATTTCATGAGGTATGAGAATTAACATAATTCTTTTTAGAATTTCATATATTTAGTATAAAGACGTAGTTACAGAACGAATAAAATGCAAACTATGGGTTCTTTTAACAGAGAAAGGAACACATACATCAACTTTCTTTGGACTTTCTTGATTCCTGTCTTTGTCTTCTTTCTGAGACTGAGTTCTCAGTTGAAGAGTCCAACCCCAAGCACCTGAGAAAGGCTGATTTTGCAAGCCTTAAATAACTGCAGGGGTGAAGATCTAACTTGGTTTCTTGAGAGCCTTCCCCTCCTAATACAGTGCCTTCTCCCACTAGCACGATTCTTCTGCTCGTACTTGTTTCGATCTCCCCCTGGATGCTTTGCTCGTTATCAACCTGCCAGATCGTTGCATATTGTTTTGTTACAATTTCAGACACATTACGAATGTAGAAATTCAATGCACCCTAATGGTCAATTCAGATTCGATTGACTATATATTACTGTAGGATATGTAGAATTGAATTAATTAATATCCTATGTGTGTGTGTGAAACAAACACAAGCCACGCTCTAAGAAGACAAACTTCTTGTTAGCCAAAGGCTGTAGATGTATATAAAACTTATACCGAGTAAGATTAGGTGTTTGATGTAAATCAATTTAGCAATCCATTATCAGCAAAGAAAATCGAACCCTGCACTAGAACGACATATAAATTTAATAAAAAACATATCACTTCGGTTCAAGGGATCCACTCATTTGGTGTCACCAATTAATAGTTCAAAGGTCGGTAATAGATACTAATTAGACATCAATAATTATCTGAATAGTAAATACTCTATTTGTAAATGAAAGAAAAAACTACTAACATTTTCATCACGTTCAACAAGGACCCCAAATTTAAGAAGCCACTGATTCTGTGCACCACCCCCCCCCCCAAAAAAAAAATTAAATGAAAAGGGAAACATGGGATAACAGCAAGCAGGAGCACATATTTTTTGGGCCTTAGTTACAGGGGATAGGAATATATGAAGAGGTGATCTAAGGTGGGCACGAAGAATCTAGTCGAGAGAGAGTTAATCCTCTGAAAAAGGCTGAAACTATTGCTCTAAGTTGTAGCTTTTGGGATTAATAAAGCACCCTACTTGTATTTGTTTTCTTCTCTAAAATCAGGATTGCATCCATGGTATTAAAGTTGTTCAATCCATTACCATGCAAATGATAGTGCCTCAATGGGTTCCAAGCCCTTTGAAGGAAGTTGTGACAGATTGTTGTCAATGATATCATTTTTGGCATTTGCACCATCCATTGACTAATAACTCTATGGCTGGCGTCGTGGTTCAGTAAAATCATAAGGCTGCAGGCACGGGTCTCCCTGCTCCATTATCTCAGGTTGGGATATAACTTTTTGAGTCACTTCTAGTTCTAGGTGATATTATATCGACTGCACAATATTCACCTTCATGGAAGTACAACTTATCACTTGCAAACTCTAGGGCAAACTGAAGTTATTAATCGTTTAAGGAGAGTTATGTAGACTTAACTACGATGATCCCAAAAAATAGAGCAAATGGATTCCTGAAATGGAATTCTGGTGTGATGCCATTTTCCACAGTTTCACCAACACTACCCCTTTCTTCACAGTCTACTGAAGACACCCCCTCCTAATACTATGCTATGGACAAGTTTGAACTGTAAATTCTGCTCTTGACCAATAGCTGCAAGATTGTGACGCAAGTTCGCTTGAGCTTTAGCAACAATTAGCTCGAGCACAGAGCAAGACAACAGTTACAACAGACATCCATTTCTGAGATTTTTAGTTCGTGTGCCAGCAGTATCATCTATCTCGAATTCCATTCCTAGTGATCACTTGCACTATTCCTGACCTATTTTGCATTCTGAAGAATATTAAGGCACAAGACAGACGGCTGGAAAGGGTACCTATAACTGCTTAAAATGGAAAAACCTACCTGATTTTGAAGTACCACAGGAACCTCTTGACACTATGAACACCAATTTTCCTATGTAGTCTAGACAAAATATTCAATTCATAAAGAGACCCAGAGAATTCTGCATGCCCTAAATTCTCATCCATTTGTCTACAAAACTCCGATCAATCGAGGAACAAACAAACCGTAAAATTGATTCTGTAGCTATTTTGGCATCCGGGAATCCAAAATTGGAAACAAATTCAAACAACACGAACGGATTCGACACACTTAAAGTCCCGGAAAACTTGTTAATTTTCCCAGTAACACCAAACACCAGAAAACGAAAATGAAGAAATTAACCACTTAAATATACAAAACTTTCATAAACGCCATACCTGCGCATTCCGCGATTGATTATTGTCAATTGTGATATCCTCCTGAGCAGCATCAGAAACGACCCGGCTGGAAGTGGAGGAGGAAGCTACGGCGGGAGTGGGTTTGTTCCCAGTATTCGTTTTGGAAAAATCGGAAGCGAAGAAGCTGAGACAACAAAGCGCGAAGATGAGGACCATAAGAAGAAGCTGTATCCAGATTAACCATGAAA